GAGAGGAGAGGAGAGGGGAGGAGAGAGGAAAGGAAGAGAGGAAGGAAGGGAGGGAGACAAGAAAAATCAAATAACAGAGTAAGATGAAGATCTAGAATACATCCCCCTACATGGTGTGATTAAGAATCCCAGGAAGATTGTAAATGGGAAATGATCGTGGAGACATTTGGGGAGCTGGTGACATGCAGCTGGCCTTAGAAAGCCAGGAGGAGTGAGGTCCCCAGTTAAGTCTCTTCCTCCGGGTTCCAGGTGGAACGCAGGTCAGCAGAGCCCAGGGCTCCACACTGCTGCTCTGGACAGAGACACACACATAGCTGACTCAGAAATTTTGGGCACTTCCAGGATCTTGTGTTCAATCACCATCACAGTTTTGACAGCTGGACTTTTGCAGGACTGTGGGAAGAGGCAGAGCATGGGTCCAGAACACTGGTGGCTCCACAGCCCCTGCTCTCAGCTCACCTGGTTTCATTTTGCCAGATAGATCAAAGAGTATTCCTCCAACTCACCACACACAAAAATACACACTCCACCCACCTCTGAATCCATTCCTAGAAGATTCAACCATGAAAAAAAAATCACGGGTGCCACAGATCCTGCTCGGGATAGCCAGGATTTCGCCATGCCTCTCGCGTTGATCACTGTTATACTATTTACAGAGTCAGAAAACAGTTGTGAAAACTATGATTCTGCAAAAGGTTCGTGAGAAGGAGGAGCACGACCCTGGGGCTGGACGCCCAGATGACCGGAGTCTCCCACCTCTTACCCAACAATATAAAAGAATTCCAGGAATTGGTGGATGGCTGGAAGATCTTCCTGACTCACCCAACAAGTTGTACGAAGCAGCCTTATATCCTCCAACTATTGGCTTCTGTACGACAGCATGTGGGTGATGGATGTCTGACTTTGAACTGACGGACTCCGGATGAGTTCAAAGAATCACTTAAGTCAGTGTCAACACAGCTTGAATTAGAGTTGATCATAACACAAGGACCAAGGGGCATCCGACTAAAGAAGCAAAACAAAGTACTTTAAAGTCATGCAATCTTTGAGAATATTAATGAGGTGACTTTGACACAAAGGTCACAGGGCTGTATCTGTTAGAAATTTATTAATTGCAAGTGACAGGGAACTCAGCTTGGATGGGCTTAAATAAAAGAAAAAAGCATTTACTGGATAATGAATTTTTTTAAATCTAGGGATATATCTGACTTCACACATGTCTAGATTAAGGGTTCTGTTGATGGCATCAAAATTCTATTTCTTTCCACTTTTCAGAGCTCTGCTATCTACCATGACAGTCCCAGGTGACAGAGAAACAGCACATCCAGTAAGAAAGACACCTGATCTCTCCCAGTAATCTCAGTGACAGTCTTTGAGCATCTCATTGGCTCTGTCCAACCCAGAGACAAGATGTGATTCAATCACTGTGGTCAAAGTGGGGGATATACAGGCTACCGTCAGGGGCTCAGATTATAAGGCCACCTTGGAGCCCAGTCCAAACATGTAGATGGGCAGTGCTGAGAGGGATGTGGGCAGACATAGATGGAGGATAGGATTATTGCCAGAATTGGGAATGGAGGCTGGGAAGGCAAGCCACAGGTGTTCTGTGGATCAGTTTTCACAAAGGATCTCCGTCACACGTGAGAGGAACTACAGATAGAAACCAACCCCCTCAATACCATTAATTATGCTCTCTCTGCCAGTGTAGGGAGACTTCTAGAAATGCTGCCCAAAAAAGCTGAAAGAAAGTAAACAAAGTGTCTCCCCCCATGGAGAACCTGGAGCTGCAACCTAGCAAAGAGCACCATGTCTCCTGCCTCCCTGGATTTGGCTCATGTAGTCCTGCCCCCAACCAGGAGAACTGTCCAGGTCTCGTCTGCAAAGTTGAGACCAGCAAGATATGAGTCACTCCTGCCCTCTGATAGTAGGGCCCCAGGGACTGGGTCAGCAGAGATATGCACAAGATTTTCTCCATTGTTCCTAGGACAGAAAGTAGGGTGCCACTGTCACTGAGCAAAGCACTCATCATCATCAAGAGGAGTCAAGACCCAGAAGAAAATACCATGTGCCAAATCCAAAGGCAAAGCATCCAAAGCATGAAAGAGCAAGTAACCACACTGGTCACCAGGACAACTGAGAGTACAATAGAACAGTGTGAGGCAAATGTGGTGCGGTGAGTGGCTTGGGACTGACACTGTGAACCATGAGCACAAGCCAGAGCTGTTTGCAGATGAGCAACAGCAGTGACAAGCAGCCCCGGACTCTGCCAGATCAAGGCCATGTAACGGAAAACCCCGAAGTGGCTATTAAAGTGTGCCCAGAGTAACCCTGACTTTGAAGCTCTCCTTTAGCATGCACCACAGTGTCTATGGCTGCCCACAAAAAAAGCCTGCCAGGAATGTGACTATGAAGCCATTATTCCCTGTTCATGCTGACCCTTTTCTGGTCCTTCCTATGAAATCAGGCCAGCCTTAACAAGTTGAGATCACCTTTTGACCATGGCCTAAAAGCACTGCAGTGTTTTAGATAGAGAGACGATGGACGGCCCTCTACATCCATTAGCTCTACATCCATGAATTCAACCAATTGTTGATTGAAAATATTCAGAAAAAAAGAATTACACCTGTGCTGAACATATATAGACCATTTCTTTTCTTTATTTCCTAAATAATAGTATAACAGCTATTTGTATTATATTGAGTATTTAAAGTAATCTAGATATGATTGAAAAAATATAGGAGGATTATGTAGGTTATATGCAAATGCTACATCACTTTTATAAAAGGGACTTGAGCATCTTAGGAGTTTGGCATCCATAGAGGCTCTGGAACCACTTCCTGCAGATGCTGAGAGATGACTTTGCACACACATGCACACACAGGATATGCAGTATAAGTGTGTACGTGACATATATGTATATTCATATTCCATACACACATGTACATGCATAACCTGTTCTTCTATATGCTCAAGATCCTTCACAGGCTGTTCCCCCAGAGGAGCCCCCCACTCCAGCCTGTGCTCATCTCAGGCCCTCTGGTCATCATCAGCCTATGGGTCTCTCCTCACCACATTTGTATA